TCTTGAGGATGGAGATTTCGTGGGCATGACGTAGCGCCTTCGAAAATTTGTCTGCCAAGCCGCATGGCAAGAATATCGTAGAATACAGCGTTAGATAAATAAGTATCAAAAGCGTGACTCGGAGAAGTCCGAACCCTCCCATCCGCCCAAGGAGCGGCAAAAGCTGGGAAGACCTTTTTTTGGAGATCAGAAAGAAGGTCACTAGTAGCCCTACGGAAGGAGAGATTCGCAGTTTCCATCAAATCCTTTTGTTTAGGTCTGAAGTCCGGATTCTCCAGTTCGGACTGCCAAGTAGGAAATATCTATATAAGTCTCTGATCCGCGGGGGCCCAACCTATTTTCGAATGATACAGCCGGGGACGATCCAAATTTTCAATCAATGGGGTCCCCGCTCGACACGCTATCACGTAAGTCAAATCAGCCCTTCCGAAAACTCGATCTCCAAGGGGAATCTTTTCCGTAATAAGTCCTAAACCACCACTGGTACTGGGGAATGTAACTTGCAGCCATTGGATATCCGTGCTTCTTTCTCCCAGAATAACCTCAAAGACCTCCCTATATCTAGCGTCATATCAATCCAAGAGGGGAATCAAGAAATATCTAGGAGCGGTCCTTGAATAGAACGATCATGGGTTTTGGGCGGGCTCTGGTTTTGGTCCCTAGCCCGCTGCAAGCAAGTATGCCCATATTTCTGAATCACGAAAGAAATACGTTATTTCAATATCTGTCAAATAGATCCAATCTTGCCATGTAAATTATCATCAATAGCTCGGCAAAACGAAATCAGCAGACGATCTCCCTCCGATTCCAGGTCTCCAGAATATTCAAAGACCAATGATTCAAATCCTATGCCCTGGGAACGGCATCTTTGGACCGTCTCACGATCTCTACGTTTACGCTCCACCTGAGATTTAGCAGCTGATAAACTACCCTGCCCCAAATTAGACGACCGGAAAGGCGAGATAATTGAGATATCAAGTGCAATCGTCGGCATCAGACCCCCAAATAGATTATCTACAGAGAGCTATAGATATTTTGAGATTTCATTTCTAATCAAATATCAATTATGCATTCATCAAATATACTCTATTTCATGAAGAATAGAATATATTCTAGGATATATAATTCTTTAATTCTTGAAGATATAGATGATTTTTCTTTGCAATTTCAATTATTGAACCCGAATTTTATATATTTTTTATTTGATCTCATCTCCCAGAGATCTGCAATCATAATATTCTATCTATAGGATATAGATACGAATATCTTTAAAATTCGAATTTTCAAATATACATTTGAAAGAAAAATAATAAATATATCTAAATCAAGAAAATGAAATGAATCATATATTCATTCTTTTAAAAGATATCAATATAATTTTCAGAGAATAGATAAATTTTCTTTAAATATTATCTAGATATTTTCTAATTTTCTATAAAAGAATTAGATGAATTATAGATAAATTCAAGATAAAATTAGCTAGAATATTCGGAAAATCGGATCTCATATTCGAGAAAATCAAGAATACCTTCCAAAAATTTAATCTAATCTCTATTCAGATCTAAATCTTTTTTAGAATTCTATATTGAATCCTAATCTTAATATCTTTTCTTATTCTATCTCCCTCCTCATCCTTCCTAATCCTTTCAAATTTTCATAATCTTTCATAATATTCATAATGAATATGATATAAGAATTCCCAAATCAGATTTCAAGAAAAAGATTTCATATCTCGAGACGAAAATATATTTTATCCGGATAATTCCTCGGAATTAATTCTACGTTCGCTGATATCTAAAATAATGAATTAATATCTGAGATCGTTCTTCCCCGAATCATATTTACGAGCATCATCTTATCAATATTATATTCTCAAATTTAATATCTATATATTTCAATTTGATTTTATTTGATATCGATGGGATTAGCCTATAATATCCTCAAATATCGAATCAATATAATTATCATTATTTAGCTTATATCATAATTAGAAAGATAAGATTATATAGATTTTTTTTTCATGATAGATGAGATTTCTCTATTTTTATCGGAAGCAATACTTAAGATTGAAATTCTCTTCTTGATAAATCTGATAAGAAAATCATTCCTTTCCGACGATTATTTCAATATTATATCATCAATCATGATAATATTAATTCTCATATTATCTCATTATTTAGACCTATGCAGCAACGCCTAATACTCGAAGCCCATATCATTATGAAATTATCTAATCAATTTCCTCTCCAATATCGTGCACAAGCTATTAGATATGAATCACTTATAACTAAATATATGAAAAATGTAAATGATAAAAATATCAATTTCTAGATATTTTTTTATTTTAATCCGACGATAATTCAATGCAGAAATATATCATATTCCAATTCAGAAATAATAAATAGAATATTAGAATTAAAGATTCATTAACGATTTTCTCCTTCATTTATTCGTGGGATTATGTTTAATTTCTAGCTAGTTTCTAAATATTCGAGAAATATTAGCAAATGAAATAAATAAAATGAAATTAAATTAGTTGTTTAATTATATCTAGCTATATCATATCCAGAAATATAGAAGATATATATTCAAAGATATATGAATATCGAAGAATTCTTCATCATAAAACTAATTCTATATAATCATAAAATAATTATATCTAATATCTTTTCTTCTCATATTCTTTAATATATTTTTCATTCATTTTCTTTCGATTCGAAGATTCAACCAAAATCTAAGAATTGTTTTCTTCTTATATATTTTTTAATCAATCAATTTTATCATTCATAAATATAGATTCTCATGAGAGAATGATCTAAATAATTCTGAATATATAAAGAACTGATCTATTGCCTATAGCAACTGATTATATTTATTCAAGAATATCCATAATGAGAAATCCGACGAATCATCAATATATGAGATCGTACGTGAAGCCTGTTGAACAATTAAGATATAAGACCGCCCGCTAGAAAAATAGCGAGTTCTCCCGAGCCGCTGCGCAAACAACCAAAGAGAGAGAAAATAATTCGAAATCTTGGGGAGATTTTTGGTCGCGCGCTCCGGTCTTGCCGCCCCATTTATCTCTCTTGAGCTATCTGCGCGGCTCGGGAGAGCGCAAAAATCTTCGTAGACAGACACGACTAACCTATAAATTCTGAACAGTTTTGGTTCTCCCTCCCGGGTCTATGCGCTCACTCGAGCAGCCGCGCAGACAGCCAAAGAGAGATAAATCACGCGGAAGACCGCTCTGGAGGCAAGGGCCGCGCGACCAAAAATCTCCGAGATTTTTGGTCGGGCTGCCCGCACGAAAAATCTTGGAGATTGTTGAGCCTCTAGCTTTTTGCGAAGGGCTGTAAAATCTCCGAGATTTTAGAGCCCCTAGGGAGCCCGCAGGAGGCATTTTAAAGGTGAGCCGGAAAAGCTAGGCCGCGCGCGAGCGAAATGGCCGCAAGTGGCCGCGCTGTATTATTGAGGTATAGTCATCTCATAAAAATGATTCATAGATGAAAGAACAGGTTACGTAGTCTTGATTTGATTTATCTGGATCAGAAGTTTTGATCGCGATAGAATTTCCGTTAAATCAGAGATTGATCGCCGGACATTTCCATTGAATGCGAAAATTCTGAGAAGATTCATGAAAAGATTCTGATAGAAGTTTCCGGCAATTGGGGGTCATTTTGGGCGGGATCCATGCCGAAATACATTATTGTACGGGGAATGGACCCCCTTCTTTGAGGGATTCTCATATTATTCATATCGTATGGAATTATTGAACGATCCACCCTCTATGAGTCCCGTCGTTCCATAATTGTAATTCCAATACTGCTCGTATTATCGCAAATTGCCAGGATGTTCAAATTTCCAGGCTGCTTATTTAGATTGTTACCAGCTTTTTGGGCGGTATTTCTGCGAAAAGCATGCGAACATATACTAGAAAATAATTCAAAACCACATGCTGACGACCCCTTCGGGGTGTCTGAAGCCGCCATGTGGATGCAGCTCTATCAGGCTCATAATTACAAACACAATTACTATTCTTATTATTTTGCTAGTACTTGTGGTATTGCTAGTGTCCTTGTGGTTGTTATACTTATACTGCTTCTGTCACTTTACTTGCTACTCAAAGGCGGCCCCGCTGGAAACATAGAAGGACAGGAAGGCATCTAAGTCCAAATGCCTTCGCCAGCCCTGCCGTGCTGCAATCCACCACTCCTCTGAGGTTCGTTGTTGGGGTTGAGGGCTCAGGGTTTAGGGCTTGGGGTGTAGGGCTTTGAGACGTGCTTTGGGTTCAGGGTACAGCGGTTTGGACTCTTGCATTTAACGCTTCTGGGCGTATAGGGGCTTGCCGGTACAGCCCTGCATGTCGGAGGATAAAGGTTGACTTGGATTCTCCCTGGCAAACCTTTCCCTCCGACATAAGCCCCTGTAATCCTCGAATAGCGACCTTATCCCCATGTGCCCTTCGGGTACTCATTAGCCTCCCGTTTACCTCAAAAGAGGGCAGCTGCTTGATGAAGGAACTCTTCCACAAAGCTCAGCCGGCAAAGTAGACGCATGAGCAACCCAACCAGAAGTTCTGAACCCTAAGAATGCAGCCAAAGGCTTTGTAAGGGATAAGTCTAGTCTTAAACTCCTAGCATTCCTTTTAAAACTGTAATATGACCTATAACAGTCCCCTACAAAAAGCCCCTATATGAGCCCCTTTAAGAACTTTAGACTATAGCTCATATGGAATCCTAAGCTTCCCGATTCGTTGCCATCCTCAACCTCCTCAACTTCTCAATCTTATCCTCTAGGACTCCTAAACCCTAAACCCTGAATAATGGGCTATATTGGGGGTTTCCCAAATTTAGGGGTAACACTTTGGGGGTCCTTCTTATAAGGACTATGGTATCTTTGGGTCTATATTGGGTCCCCTTATTTAGGGAAAATGCCATATAATCCCCTATGTATGGCTATCTAATCTTGCACCCTGCTCTAAGGCCTAATCCCAACTCCTTCTTCTTCTTCTCTGGCAGTTCAGATCCAGCGGGCAATTTTGTCAAGAGGCGCATTAGGGCGAGAAACTCCTCAGGGCTTTAGGTGTTCAGGGTTGAGGGCGTAAGGCTTAGGGTTCAAGGGCGGGGATTGTGGGTTCAGGCTTTAGGGTTAGGGATTTGGGATCTAGGGTCTAGGGCTCAGGGTTTGTGGCTTAGAGGTTCATTTGGGATTTAGTCGCTCAGAAGCTGAGACAACAGTTTATGTGTGGGAAGGTTAGGGACTAGGTATCGTCAGTCAAAGGACCGAAACCCTGAACCCTAAACCCTAAACCTGGCAGTCAACTCCCTCTTGTGGCGCCATACAACTTTCCTCCCATCTTTTTTGACCCCTGAAATTCCTCATAGCCCAGCTTGCCACTGTGATTGCGGTCCGCCTGGCTAAGGTCACATGTGATCACAGTGGGATGATATGGTCATTTTTCCTTTGCTGTTAGAGATTTTGGGCGCAGGATTTAGATAGAGGGGCTTTGAACTTTTTAGAGCCTCGGAGGGCTATGGCTCTTGGGCTGATTGGGAGGGGGTGGACTCTAGTTTTGCGAGCTCACTACCCCAAGGCTGCATTTGGGGTTTAGCTGGGCTAGTTTTTTGGGCTATGCTGTTTGAGACCTGGGATGGTGACCACCTTTACTTAGACTATGTATCTTAGACCACGTGTGTCATGCAAAGGCTTCGGAAATGGGTTTTAAAGGTTTGCAGCCGTCATGTGTCGGAGTAATACTGACGGCGCTATCTAAGACTCTGCCAAGTACTGCGCTACCTGTCTAAGAGTGAAGATGCTACAGCACAGGAAGCAGTGATTCCCTAAACTCCGCAACCATACCCACCAAAGCATTGAACCTCTGCCCAGCCTGGTCAAACTTCGTCTTGAGCTGGTCAAGCTCGATAAAGCTGAAGCCGTACTTTCTGGCCAGCCTGGTGTAGTCTCAAGGAACACTGTCATGCGATGTCGGGCTTTGGCATTTTTCTAGGGTTCCTATATCCTAGAGTGGACGCTTACAAGCCCATAACGGCAGCCCAGCAACTGTCTGAGTTCACGCTCTTGTCGGCTCAGTAACACCTGGGTATGTGGCTGGCAGGGAGGGAGGAGTGCAGGATTCTGCGATTACGAAGGGCTGAGGTTCAATTAGTGATATTCAAGAGTTAGTGTGGCTTTGACTCGTATCAAAAGTGCCCTTCATGTAGACCTCCCCGTTTAAGCAAGATAGATTTTAGGGAAATGTTGACGAACTGGACCCCTTAAACTATGAAGACACATGCCCCACATACCTAGATCAGGTATTTGGGGTTAGGGTTTGCGACATAAACCCTAAGCTCGAGATCCCAACCCCTACATAATAGACCCCAAGCCCGAAATCCTAAATCTGAAGCCCTTAAGTTCTGGACTTTTAAGGCCTGATTTGAACTACGGTCGAAGTTCCATACCTGACTAAAGGACATTTGTTTAAAGTTATTGTTTTCTAGCTGTTTCCCTATTGCTGTTCAGCATTTTATGGGCCTGAGGCAGGTAAAGGTTTAGGTTTTCGAGTCTAGGATTTGGATTTTAGGGTCCAGGGCTTGAACCTCAGAATTCAAGGTTTGGATGTAGCTTGTTTAAAAGACTATGGGAGGCGTCGTCCCTGAAAATTTGAACCCTGTCAAAGGCAGACTTCCCAACGATGCCTGAGGCCGCCTGTGTGGAGGTTCTGGATTTGAGGGTCTAAGCCTCTCTGAAAACTGCCCCCCGCTGCCAGCAGCAGCATTTGACCACCGAGCGTAAGTGCAAGTGTACAGTATGTTCAAGAATTCAAGTCCGGAACTTGTTCACCGCTTTGCCTGATCCAGCGCTACTTAATCTCCGTCAGCCCCCAAAGAAGCCAGCCTCCTCAGAGAAACAATAGCGATGGTAGAAGTCCAGGAACTCCACCATATCTAGCGACTCATTCTGGTTCCTGGGTAGGCGTCTCAAGGCTGGGCTAGCTTTGGGTTTCAGGTGAAGAAGGTGCTTGCTCCTTCTACTTCTACTGCTGCTGCTGCTACTACTACTGCTACTACTATTATTATTATTACTACTACTACTACTGCTATAGCTACTGCTACTACCACCTTCCCCCTGTACCACCACCCCCTTCTTCACCTCCTCCAATCCTTCCGCTCTGGTGCGCTTTCTTGCGCTAACGCATGCCTCCTATGGCTGCGGCTACTTTCAAAGGCAAGCATCGCGTCAACAGTTCTCAAAGCGCCGCCCACGAAGTCCTTGCTTCTCAGATTAGGGTTTAAGGTACAGCTTGAATGAATTGACAAACATCCAGATAGAATCCGTGCATATTTCAAGTCTGATGTACCCCAGAACCCTAGTCTGTTTTGAACTTTGGCCCCCACGTTTCTAAGGAAATCAAGGTTCAAGAAGTTAAAGACTTGTAGCGGTTGTTGCAAGAAGGCCAACAATAGTTTGAAGAATCGCTTCCGAGACTAAGTTCTTAATGCAGATACAGATGTATTATCACACTTCACATGCGAGCCATAATTCAACCATCTATGAGCAAGACAGAATTGCAATAAGCAAAAAAACTTATCACAAGAAGCATGGAGGAAGAAGACACTTTGCCAAAACTGTGCTCAGACTCCATATCCAGCTGTGAGGGGTCGTCTACATCGCTGATGGCGCAGCAGGTCTTGAATAGAGCTTCCCGTGACATGCTCCCAAGACTGGGAAGCTCGAAGAGCGTTCCCTCCAGCACAGCCTCCTGCAGGGGGTAGTGAAGGATTCTGATGCGTTGAGCATTGTTCTATTGCGGCGGCGGTTGTGGTTGTGCGAAGAAAAAACCAATATACTCCGCGTTGCAACGGAGTTCCAACCTCTTCCCGAAGCTAGCAACTTCATTTCAGGGTGTGTTGCCATTTAAATGGGAAAGCTAGCACTGAATCCCATAGAGAGCTGGGTTGCTGTTGCAGAAGTTAGGATAAGTTCCCCGTCGTTCTGGACGAACCACATTATGTACTATAATCACCCCCATGCTGCCTGGTGACGTTGTGCTAAAACTCGTTTCGAGCGGTGGCGGGGAAAGAGAGTAAAACGCAGCGCCCCATCTCCGTTCGGCGGTAAGTTTCAGGCTAACACGGAGAGAAGCCCAAGTGTAAACTAAAGGGCTGTGCCATAGCACCTATGTAAGCCCTGATCATGAAAACCCATCCCATGGTGCTCTCGTAGGCAAACAACATAGCGTCAAACTAGGTTGCAATTTGAAGATGTTTGTGTTGTAGCTACTTTAGTATGACTTTTGCTGCAGGGCCTGCCTCTGACAGTCCCAGCTTCTCGCGGTTGGACAGACCAATGTCTGCAAACTGATAGAACCAGTTGAAGGCTTGCTTGCTCACCTTGCAGGGAACCTTTCTGCCTACTCGGCAAGGCTGAGGTCGCCACTGAGAACCCCAAGCACAGAAGGAACCGAGCGTAAGGACTTAAAACCAAGTGTCGACACCAAGCTGAATGGCTCATTTCACCCACCATAAAACTCCCTCCTCCTGCTTCTGGTGTCTGATGTTCCAAAACCATTCTTGAAACTACACGCGAACAAAAGCCACACAGCCACACATAGGGAGCTCTTAGTTTCGTAGTGACGTGTTGGCTAAAGAACTGTCTTCCATGAGCAAGCCGAATGCTGTGCGAAGGAGGCAGAAGACTGCAACAAGGACGTCCTGCAACATCTGTTTGGCACACGTACCTGAAAATGGTAGGAGGCTTAGGTTATGCTACTACACGTCATCATTCAAGTCGCCAATACGAACATATGCTAAGTACCTAGACTTGCAACCTTTCGGTCACATCTTTTAATCATCCTGCCTGCCAGGGTATGTCCTGAAGCTGAGAAACCTTTTGCAGCGTGATTTTCTGCTGGGGCGTAGGCTCACGAACCTGACAACCAAGGAGACTTATGACAGGGGCGCCATAGGGACCTCCGGGATGCAGAAAGATGTCAAGAGGTTACGGAGTTTCCTACAAAGACATGGGGGTCTCAGATCTTAAGAGTCATCTTCAGTGTCCACAAGGATGCAGGTAGTCCTCCCCTGAAGCTTCTGTTGGCAATCATTACGTTGATTCTGGCTAATGTGGGCACAGACCTAATGCTCTCTCTTTCCAGGTCCCTTTTCCTAGACCCCAAATCTGACCCCTCTTCCGCAGCAATTCCATGACAGCTAAGAGGCATGATGCCCCAAATAAGCATCATCGAAGCGACATTTCCCCAGAAAAGACATTGGACATGTACATCATCTACTCTGAATACGAAGAAATTTTCTGACTGCCTAGAAAAGCAAAAGCAAAACCAAACTTCACGATGTATGCAACTTCCTCATCATCAGAGCGACTCCTCATGCTAGCCAAATAAATCGACGATTCCGGGCAATGTAGTAACTTCTTCATTGTGTCTCGACACGGTCGACAATGATGCTACTCATGCTTTCTCGGCCAAAATCCCTGCGCGCCTAGATGCAAGTCGTACAGCCCCAAGCAGTACTCCCAACCCACCAATTCCTAAATCCAAATCCCTAAGCTCTTGAACCAAAAACCCCTAAAACCTCCCCAAATTCCCCAAGCCCCTTTGCCCTGACCTCCTCCTTGGGTGGCAGCATGGACCGCGCGGAGCTCCTGCGCCGGCCCAAACGAAGGGAGGCCGACATGCGCCGGCTGAGCCTCCATAGCTGCTTGTTTACAGGGAAGACACTGTTCATTCAGGAAGCCTTGCACCAGTTAGGAGACCCAAATCACTGTAATTCCTTGGAGGTATAAAACTTCCAAGACTGGGGAGCTCGGGGTTCAGGACTTGGGGTCGCAGGTTCAGATCGGAGGGTGTTCTCCGGGTACCCCTCGGACTGTGTGCGCGTCAGCTAAAAAAAGTTTCAGGTTTTAAGGGTTGCAGGATGTGTCAGGTTGAAGGGTTGTAGGATTCTTTGAGTGCCTGAATGTGCCTGATTTGAGGGTTGGGTTTGTTATGGTCTTCTGAGTGAGGCCTTTGGGCTTAGGCTGTTGCGGTCAGGGTGTTGAAGTTTTGTGTGCCTCGGGGCTCGGGGTTTAGGGCGTTGGGGCTTGGGGTACCGCACCAGCCATGGCTAATTGTGTTGCTGCGATTTGTTGTTGCTGCGGTCATTCTCACACGAATGGGCATTATTGCTGGCCAGGTATGCCACCCCTGCCATACCACCCCACCCCTGCCCTACCCACCACCCCTACCCTCCGAACCACCCTAACCACCACCCCTACCACCTCTGACACCCCTGCCACCCGCAGTGACCTTCCACCCCACCCTGCCACTCCTACCACCCCACCACCCCTCCACCACCCCTGACCCCTGCCACCTGACAGTGTGTGCTTCCGGCACACAATCGCTGGCAAGATGCATCTCGGGAGCTTAGTCGTTGCGCTCACAGGCTTATTGTCTGACCACACAGTGTTTCCGCTTATTACGCCATATGAATAGTTGCGAGCACAGGAAACATGTGTCAGTGTCGGTCTTTTCGACGTGCATCATGGAGAGCAGCTTCGAGTGGTTCTTCGGTACTGTATCCATATCACCCCCGTGGGTAGCAAGCAGCCGGAATCCTGTTAAAGGCAGGATTGAAATAGAATTGCCTCCGTACGCTGCAAGCTTGATCCACCGCGACTGCTTGTATCACTTTACCCTTCTGCCCATGAGTGTTTCATAATCTCAGCATATATCCCGGACAACACCGGAACCCGACTCCGGAACCCAAACCGCGAACACTAAACACACAGGAGATTTGCTCAAAACAACCCCTGCGTAATCCCAACGGGGTTTCCCTCAGATCCCCTTTCCACAGGCTCCCTGAGAGCCCTGCTTTTCGAGACACCTCTAAACTATGCAGAAGCTCAACCCCAAATTCTAAATCCTGAGCCTAGGTCCCTGGACACTGACCATTCAACCCCAAACCGTGATCCCCCAACCTCAACCCTAAGCCCCGTGCCTGCTGAAGGTCATCGTGCTTTCTGTAAAGTCCGCGCCCTCGGAGGACAGGGAACTCCTCGAGCTCGAGGGCTCCGAGTCCTGTCAGATCCCTTACAGTTTACTGACAATTTAGCACTTATAGGCTTTGCCACAAATCTCAGTATTATTGCGCACTTCCTGTATCTCACCAACACAACTCCCATGCAACTTTGCCAATCGGACCCAACTTCTGAACGCCTCTTGAATTTGAGATAATAAGCACTCCAAACGAAGGTCGAGCGAAACAAGGGCAATGCTGTCACGCCCTTACTGGCTTCATGTGCTTTATGTATATGATCAACGCTACTACCTTGTTTAGGGTTTAGGGCTTACTGGAGCTTGAGGAAGTAGGGCAGCGAATCGGGCAGCATATATAGGTATGACAGTACGTATGGACTATTGCAGGATTCCACTCCCTCACTACCCGTGAAGCACCTGTAAGACAGGAGCCCTTGTCTTTGGGAACCCTCTGTCCTGAACCATAACCCTAAATCCAAAGTACTACGCCTGAAGCTGTAGATCCTGAATTACCACCCAAAAAACGCAACGTTAACATCTGAGCCTTAATTGCCGCAAACCCAATCCGTGGACACCAAGCCCAACTCGCATGAGAAGCCCCACTCACCCAGCTCCTGAGGTCCAAGGACACGCAGATCACGCAGCGGGTCCCAGTGATAACTTGGGCGCTCAATACTCTTCAGAAGGTTGTTCGCCAGGTCCACCCTCCGGAAGGGAAGGGTTTGCTGGTGTCTGAGTTTAAGCCCAAGGCCTCAGTTTAACTGGGGATTTGGGCAATCTTAATGATTGGGACTAGGACTCTGTTCTATCCCGTGGCTTTAAGCTTTCCTGCAGGGGGGCAGGGTTCAATTCGACTGCAACTCGTCAACGAGACATCCCCAACCCTACCTACCCCCAAATCAGCATGCAACCTCAAAAGTGGTCCTTTGTTTCTCTTTTCGCGTTACATAAAGGGGCTACATAAAGTTCCATGTTAGTTGGGGAGGGTAAGCTCAGCTGCGCGCAAAAGATTTTGTGGGGGTGAGGGAGGATTTTTATTCGAGAGGGAATGATCTTATGAAACAGCGGCCTGGGTGTAGGCTTAGGCCTCAGGGCCCGAAACCCTGAACTCTAATTGCACTTAGGCTTCGCGATTGATCTCTATGGCCTAGCAAAGCCCTGCAATACGGTGCCGGATATTCACTTGCAGGGCATGCTATCTCGCTATGGCTACGACTGGGCTTCTGTCTGATTGGTCATGGCCCTGCACTCACCTATAACTATAAGCTTACAGCAAGAGACCCTCACCCCTGGACTACAGGTGCCATGAAGGGCCCCGGGGTAGCTTCCGTGCCTCTTCGAGTTGCCAAGGAGAACTGGCTTTTTCCTGCTGTAGAGCTTACGGTGTAAGGTTTGGGGTTAGGGGACAGAGGTTTGTTGGTCTGTCCCGCAAAGTTGGTGACCCTACACAGACATGAATTACAAACAAGGACGCCCCAAAAGGACCGCAATTGTGGCCCCGTACCATAACGAATTTCGCATGCCATAGCAGCAGGGGGTTTGCAAACACAGCTTTTCTTCTGCAAAGCTTAGGTGTTTAGGGCTGAGGGTTTGGGCTAAAACAACCTGAACCACCATCTATACACTTCAGACGTTGCAGCTGCAAGGAATACTGCGGAAAGCCCACGGGTGAGGATCGGTTCCCTCTATGCTTGTTCGCTGAGAAATAGTGCTGCGTGGCGCTTCACAAGAAGGTGGTTTACAACCCCCTGCAGGATTTAAAGATTCCAGCTTTCTAAGAAATTCATATATACAGTTATGATCTTTTCCATTTATTCCAGCCAGTCCTGCCCTACTCAAAACAAGATAGAACAGGCTAGGATCATTAAAGAGGGATTCCTCGCCGGTTAATCATCCCGACACGCCTTTGGGGTCTCTAAGGTACCCTTTCTTTGAGAAACCTACAGCCCCAAACTTCAAACTTGGATGCTTTAAGCTACAGCCTTGAACCCTCCACCTCCCATATCTTCCTTCCCGAATTACCCATGGAAGCTGGACATTGCTTTCCTTGAAACCTCCCCGAGTCCTCTTCCCGAGCACCCCGTTTAGCCAATCTCGCTGCGCATCGCGATGGGAAGTATCCTAACCAATGATTGGGCTGAAGGTCAAAGGGGGGCTGAGCAACTACGGCTACCTTGATTTTCTTGTACTTCTTGTACGGCAGTGCGCAAATGCCTGAAATATTTAACTCTTTCAAGCTGCTAATTTCTCGGGCCTGTTGTTCACATGCACATTTCAAGCATGAAGATGGCTCCCAGGGGATACATATATGCGGGGGTTCTCTTGGTCGCGCTGATCTTATCGCCTCCCCCTAACATAACAAATTCCCATTAATTTAATGCCATCATATAGTCGGCAGAAGATTTACCATTAGTCGGGTGGATTTTATGGGAGGGGAGTAGGAAAACAAGAAATTCTGAGAAGGCCCCAGTGACTAGTTGGAACCTGTGAAAATCAGGTACTGGATTCAGGGTTTAAGTTTAGGCTGTACGGTTGATCCAGTAGAACAACGTAGAATAATGTAGAATAAAATAGAAATCACATGGATCATGACATGGAAAGCCGGGCAAGATATAGGTGATATGAAAGGACTTACACGCAGATTCATAAGTGGATCTGGGCTAAGGGTTTAGGGGAGGCCAGGCTCCGCTTTGCAATGCTTTTCAGGCGTGCCCAACTTGGGTAGCTTCTCCAGAACTCTCAGAGCAACAATGCAAAGGTTCTGAAGGTTAGATCACAATGGTAGTCCAAACATAATCAGGATTAACACATCTATACAGGTGGGAAGCATTGTCCTTTTTGCCTAAGCCCTGAGCCTTTAACCCTCAACCCACAGTTCTAAACCTTATCTGTGTCATTATTCTAGTCGGAAACATAGTGCGAGTCTTTAGTGCACTAGACACAATAGGAAAAAGGAAGCAGTAATTTCAACAAGACTCCACTGAGGAAGCAATAAAAGCCCTACCCCATACCATGAAACTCTGAAATTCCCAGCCCGAAGCCTCCTCGCCGAAGGTCTGCTCAATGTCCGACCTCGGCTCGAAAGGAGGCTGCTGAGGTCCTAGTTCTGGGAGTTGGGGTAACCGAACTCCCCTTTCTCTTCTTAGCTTTCCGCTGCTCCGCAGGCATTTTTGAGCTTACCCTTTAGATGAAAGTATTTTCGAGCTTGCACTTCAGATGAAATGCACCAGATTCGCAGTGTTTATTTTGGTTGCTGAAGCAAGGAAGATCACACCCCAAATATCGAAGACTACACACTGTACACCCAAGGAGGACATACTCTTACCCTGTATGGGGACTCTAGGACCCTTCAAAATACTACAGAGTTGTGGTGAAGGAATGCCGATGCTTACCATCAGACTCTCGGGATACAGTTCGGGCTGGGAGCCTTCTGAGTTGCCATCAAAGGATGGAGCTGAAACTAGGTTAGAAGCAAACAAACACATGTTTTTCAATTTAGTATGTACCAACAGTGTGTTCCTTAACAGCAACAGAGTGTTTGCGAGTAAGGAGTCAAGGGCCTGACGATCCAAATTTCTGTCACTGAACTGTAGTAGCAAAAGAAGGATCATAATTTCGGAAATTTGGTCCAATGAATCCGATAGCATTCCATGCATTGACTAATGCTTGAGCCCAACTTTTTAGAAGCTTTCTGAGGTTTCCTTTCTGGCTCCTGGAGAGCTCAAGTCGACCCCTGCAGGGCCTACAGTAGGTGCCAAAATAGTTGGTAAAGGGTTCGGGGTGAATAGGGCCCGGGAGAATAATCTACTTTTGTTGGCTACGCAATGCTCAGGATTATGACGCTGGTATGTACTACGTCTTCCACGGTCATTACGGTTGGGTGCAGAACTCAACTTATACGTGGGTCAGAACCTCCCTCAGGAACCTTGACCCATAGGTCCGAATAGGTATGTCTTGAAACTAAGGTGCGCTAATTAATCCACAAGGTACTTGAAAGACCCCCCCCCCAGCTGTCGGAGGACCACAGATGCAGTCCACCCCAAACACCATACTTCAGCTGATGAAGTGGCCGGAGCTTCCATTCGCCATCGTAGGCCGTAGCCAGAAAGCGCTGGGAGGAGGGTGGCCTACCATTGGAAGTTGCAAAATACAAGATGTAAAATTGGGAGTACCGATGACAGGGTGATGATGATGATGATGATGATGATAGGAAACACATCCCTCACAACAATGAACGATGCCTGGCCTGAATTATCATGTATTTCTCCGGGGGTGTTACAGTTAGTGAACGACGTAGACAGGGCCCCATTCCAATCCTACACAGTCCTAATATCAAGCATAGCCTTCTCTAATCAGCGAATTGAATTTTAGCAAACTGAGATCCCTGATGCATGAACCCACCAGGCACTGCTACATGATTGATTAACCATATCTTGTCTACCTACATCATCCGATCTAACGGTATTCCATCTAAACCTTTGCATGAAACTTTACAAAGGCAAGCAACTTCTCGAACATAAGGGAAACCAGATTTCAGATCAAACTTCGTCAGTATCGTACATTGCTTGCTGCAAGCCTTACGAAAACAATTATAATTGACACCCAGGATGTCAAGGAGATCTCCAATCAAGAAGGCGTGGAACCCCATCCTGCGTGTTTTTTCATGGCCCCACAATTATCTCAGAACCCCTGGCCCGCTGCATGATAGGTTGGCTACTTGACCCCTTTCAAGACTACTCCTCCCCTTTGAAGGTCACCTTCCAGGTTCTGAAGCGTTTTGGCTTGTTAATTGGGTGGTTGTCAAAATTATGGTCCCTCTTTGGATCCTAGTATAATACGGCACCTAATATTGTCGGTACCCAAAAAGGGGCCATAATTTTGACAACCACCCAATTATCATCAAGCTCTTCTACCACTAAGGGGAATGAGTGGGAGTTGCAGTGGCCGTCCTCGTACTACACATTTCTAGGTATTATCCCCCCGAAGGCCAAGACCCCGGGCACCAAGCCTAGGTTTTATGGAGAAAGCTGAAGCTTTCTACATTCAACACAGAGGTTCATGGGACAGGATTCTAACTCTAAACAACAGGGTTTAGTGCTTAGGATAACATCCCAAAATCTTCTTTGAGTCTTTGTAGGCTTAGCTTCGGGCTCCTTTGCTATCCTGCGCACCTTTTTGCCTAAGCCCTCAACCCTAAACCCTATCTACGGTCCCCAAAGCCTGGTTAGACAGGTCCCAACCCTCCGGGGATGCTTGAAACCCCAAAAGAAAAGCCGAAACTGTCTCCTCCAACCTCCTGGTTGCTTCTAATAATGAAGGAACTTAAGCTTAGGGTTTAGGGGATGCTAGGGTATGTATAGGGGTTATATCGGGATAGTGGAAACTACTATAGTGTTGAGGGTTTAGGGTCTTAGCGTTTAGGTGCTAATGCAGGGACTCAAGCTAAGCTACCATAATATCAGCCATAATCTAAGCTCCTAGTATCCCCCTTAGTAACCCCTATAATCGAGAATCAAATGGAAAAGAACATGGAACATGAAATGGAAACTGGGGTTTATAGGGATACATGAGCTATAGTGAAAATTCCTAGTATCTCCCTTAATAGCCCTATAATAACCCTTTTCAAAGAGTTCAGACTATGGCTAATGTGGGTATAGAGTCCAAAGACAGGGTTTTCCCTATCATGGTAACTTACGTTCTGTTTAGTAGATCCCTTTACGACCCCAATGTAACCCCAGTTGCCTTTTTATGTTCCATCTTCTTTTCCATTTGATTTTCAATGATGGTGCCTAATCTTAAGTTCCCTTAGTCCTTTAGCCCTAAACCCAGAACTTGAAGCCAAAGTCTGCACTTTAACCAAGGTTTGGAAGTTCCAAGCCCAGACGTAGGGCTGTGAAACAAAAGGAGTTTGGGGATACCTCAAGTCCCTGGAACCCTGAAAGCTTGTCCCGAAACCTCTTCAGATCAAACCCACTGGCCATGTTGACATACAGAATTTTTCCATGATCCTTAGTTTATCTCAGTACCAGAATTCCTGGGATTCAGGTAAATAAGGTCATGCAGTACGTAAACTGGCCAGTCAACCATGCTCTTCCATGTCTGGATCTAAGTTTTGAACCCTCAGCCCAAACTCTGAAACCCTTAACCCCAAAAATCCTAAAGCCAAAAAACTCTAAACCCCCACGCCCCAAGACCCTAAAACCCTATACCCAGAAACCCTAAGACCCTAAAACCCTATACCCAGAAACCCTAAGACCCTAAAATCCTAAACTCCCTCAGCTCTCGCCTCATCATCTCTTTTCCCCCTGAGGCCAGCGATCTGCGGCTCAGGGACTTGGAGTTGCCAGTTGCCTCGGCAAAGGGTTTAGGGTTTACGGCTTTTGATGCCCGTTGAAGGGGTTCTAGGGGGGTATACAGGGCTCAGGGTCTAGGATGTTAGGGACTCAGGATTATGCTTTAAGGATTACAGTGTGGGTTAGCTGTTTCTCAGACCATAAGGATAAATTGCAATTACAAAGGGACTACGGAGGAACCCCACAAGAATTAGAATAGAGTTGCTATTTGGGGAAGCTTCCATATTGTGGTATCTGTCAAAACAAGAGTCTTGCATTTGCAGAACGCAGTTGGTCTTTGGGATTAAGGTTTGGGGTTTAGAGCCTAACTTTGTGCTTGAGATTCACGGTCTGAGGCCTGCCGGGTTCAGGTAAATGCTTCCCTGTTTGGGCATGCCCACAGTGACTAAGTCTTGTGTACGAATACTGAGGACCCCAACACAAAGTCACTATGTGTAGGGGCTTCCATTTGAAGGGTTTCTGCTTAGGGTTCCCGTCTGAAGTGAGATGCAATGTGAATCCAATACAGGCTCTTCCCACTAAATCGTTTGGGGCTGAAGGCGTTAGAGTTTGAGCTCAAAATCAGGCATTCGCTTGCCCGAAGCCTCGGCTTCCGAGAAATGCGGGTTTCAAATAATTGGGGCCCCTTCATTGGGAGTCTTCATCATAAGGATTATTATAGTGTATTGGGGTCTATGTTGCGGCCTGCTGCTTATGGAATCTCCCGAATCAACCTCTTGCATGTGTCTAAATGCCTAGAAATGAGGCGGTGAACACACTCCTGCCTGCAAATTATCAAAACTTCATAGATGGTCATGAAGACCGTGAGATAAGACGGCCGAGGTTGGACGATGCATGTTAACAATCAGCACAACTCGACGAAGCAAAAGTATAGAGCCCAAAAACCTGACAAAAGAGCTGGTTCAAATCCCCACTTATACCAGTGTATGAGCCCTAAACCCTAAGCCCCAAGCTCTTATAACCCAAAACCCTACACGAAACTGAAAATTCAATCACCCCCACCGAGAGTGAGCCCCTCATTCCTTGCCCCTGCCATTTAGCAACTTCTGCAAAGCAAATTGGCATCCCTGCAACGACTCGGTAAAGTAGGCTCCCGTACTGCATAATCCAAGTAGGGTCCCTATGCTTATCCCCGTATAGTCCCTAATGTCAAGGCCCCCGTTATGCGAGAAGCCCTAAGCCCTGAAGCCCAGATCCTAACTCCTAAGCCTTAGACCTGCAACAACATAGGAAATCCCCTTAAACCTTAAACCCTTTTACAAAAAAACGGATTTCTGTGGGCTCCCTTGAAGATCTTGAGCTGGGATGCTTTGAAGTCTGGGAGGTTCCCCATCGAAGTGTCGGAGCGCATCCGGTCGAGAGACCTGGGCCGCGAAAACAAAGGGCTTTCGGCTTGAGGCTTATGTTTTGGATTATTCAGGGTCTATGGCCCCCTTAAGTAGTTAGAATATGGCTGTTGGTATATTAGAATAAGATCCCCATCTACCTCATTTTCTATCTACTTAAGGGGGACTATACTTCTGGGGTTTAGGGCTCACGGTTTTAGGATCCTGGGTCAGGGTGTAGCTGAAGGTTCCCGCGCTGATATCGTTGAGGTCCTAGCTACCTTGTGCTTTGTAGAGAATGCAAAGGAGTATCAAAACTCCTTCGCTATTTTGGGCTCATGGTTTGCTAGGCTTCTTCAGGGTTTGGGTGCCTAGTATTAGTTGGCTCCCAATATTTACGGTACAGGGACCATGATTTTGGCAACCCTCCCATATAGACCCCTCATGAAAGGACGCAGTCTTGAAGGGCCCTTTTCGGCGTTCCATGTTGAATTGGGGAAGGGTGTTCATGAAGCCTGAAGCTAACAGGTCCCAAAACCACTAGACTTACAAACCCCTACCCCGCCCAAGCCTTTGCATATCTCTAAACCTCAAGCCTGAAACCGTAACTCCTGATCAAGGTAGTTGATGTACTTTTTTTTGTCTGGGCTACTCGGTCTTGGTGAGTGTGTTATCGTTTGCCAATCAAGGGCCCTCCGGCAAGGATCCACAATCCCAATATATCTCCTATGACCAACGCGTCACAGTTAGAATATGGTTCCTGGGTTGGGGAATATGTTGGCAAAATAGCTACACGACACCAAAGGCTCCAGGGACCTTCACAAGTTCATGGCTAAGGGACACCCCCACCGCGGAGCTCATCTTTTGCAAGGCCTTCTCCTGCACGACAAGTTTGGGAGCAGTCGAGCCTTACAATGTGGGAGTTTCCCAAAACTCTTAAGCTCCTCATTATATACATTAGAAGGACCTCCAAAAAAGGACCCCTTGCTTCTGGAAAGTTCCGTGTGGCCATGAATCATAAACTGGCCATGACTGTTTCCTGCCGAATTATGGACACGCCCATGAGGTTTCTTCTGGGATAATACGGGGTTGGCTGGGTGCAATGGAAAAGAAAACGAAAACTACCGTATCATTTAGGGATTAGGGTTGAGAGTTAGGGACGTGGGAAGCAGGCTGCTAATCTGCTGACGATGATGATACAGAAGCATGTTTCAAACGCAGCCGTACGCAAATGTCAAAACATAGAATGGGCCTTTGGGTGTCTGACGATACAGCAACATAGTTTTTTACCTTACAATATTAGTAGTCATTCAGGCCTTTACAATATTTGGAACCGAGCTGTTGCCTCTAGCCTAAGCAGCAAGCTCCACGTTCGCATCCTTCCTCGATCCCAAACTCTCAAGCCGTAAAAGTTCGATCCCAAAACCTACCTAACCCCCAACCACTCCAAATCTGCCAAAGCCCCCGCAAGTCCCGGGGATTGCAGCTCAGCAGTAGAGTGGAGGTCGATGAGAGAGTCGACGACTTTCCAAACCTGGGTGACTCCTAGCTTATTTGTTGGTAGTAAGGAATAAGGGAATATGATCCCTATAGAATGTATTCCCTGCATAACAGAATCCCTATAGAATATATTCTCATATCCCCTACTAACCAACAGTAAGTTCGATTGTCTGAAAGGCCTGAAAAGGGTCTATGGGTCAACCTGGAGTCATCCGTATGATGTACTTAAAGGCTAGGTAGGCATATTACCAAGCACGAGCGTTATCCGTAACAGGAACCATAGGGGACGCTGGAATATACTCTCTCATCAATTGGGAATTGTCCCTACTGAGACTAAACCCTAAACCCTAAACCCTAAACCCTAGCAAGCTTGCACAGCTGTTGCCGAGGCTGCTGAGCAACCGTTTCGACGCCTTGAGCGACATGATGCCATCGGCCACGCCACAATGGGAGTTTCCCAACAGGGGGGTGGAAGGGCTTTTTTTCCCTTGTCCGAGGCAGGTGCTGATTTCAGGTACCCACCTGGGTTGGGTATCCTTCCTGATCTCCCCAACACTATGCCCTAAGCCTCCAGCCTGAATCCTAACCGCAAATTAGAACCCTAAACACGAAACTTGTGGCCCCCAAATTTCTGGAAACTGCCCGCTCTGCTTGGCAGAGTCTAGGCTGTGGAAAACAAAACAGGGTTAGCTTTGAGCCGAGACAGCAGGGGATTGAAAAAGATTCGAGACTGCTACAGGGCTCCTCATACTGGAAGTCGATCCATCACATGCTTATGCCCACGGGGACTAAGCGCCTCCCAAGACCTCCCCGTCCGGCCAAGAGCCAAAGAATTTTTTGAGGATCCGGGGATTAATGCCATTTGCTGGAAAAGCGATCAATAGAAACCTGAATGATTAGCCGATGGGAGGAGTCTTGCACCTTCGGCAGATGTGTTGAGAAGCAAAATCCTGCCAAGACGCTGCTTTTTTTCGCGGACGCTTTAGGCCCGGAGTTCAATTTAAATGGTCTTTGGGAAATGGATGGGGTTTCCATAAACAGGGGGCCCCAAATATCCCCCCAAAATACAACAATCCTCATTTTGAGGATTCCCACGAAGGGACCTGATTTTTGGAAACCCCCACATGGGAATGCCCTGGACTCATTGTACCTGCTCAGTCTACTTTGGGCATTGATGGTTGCAGTCTATAGCATCCTAATTAGTCAAGAAACCTCCTAGGGAGCAAAGGAGCGACGACTCAGCAAATCTCCATGGTTTGGTTGCCTCTATCCCCGTACCCTCAACCATCTGGGTTTGGAAGGGTTTACGGTGGAAGGAATTCAGGGACTGTCGGCGGTTCTCAGAGCGAAAGGAAATCCGACTAAACCAAGAACAAGCCGGACCCATTGCTCCTCTCCAAGCCCAAGCCATTAAAACCGAAACCCTGACCCCTTTCCAGGGATTTCGCCTGGTTCCTCTGTAAGCATAGCACCTTATCCCGGCCCTTGAACCCTAAACCCAGATTTAGGGTTAGAACTCGTGGGCACTTAGACTTTCCTGGGCTTAAGGCTCTTCATAGCACAAACCATGACACGTTGGGAAGCTACGAGCTGCTCATTTATTCTACCAACCGGAAGAGGCCTTTGAGAAACTCAGAAAACGGCATCGTAAGTGGACTGGAGCCACCAATGTTCCTAAACAACCCTACAAAGCCTGAACCTCGCGAGACTCTTACTAACCTATGCAATACCCATGCATCTACTCCCAGTAGAGACCGACATTTTTCTGAGACACATCATCACCCTAGACCCTAGACCCCAACCTGGCTCTCATCACCTGAAGAAGAAAATCATGTCCCTTTTGCAGCCGTATAAAGACTGTGACTCGTGTAGATTCGAGACTATTATATTTACAGAACGCGGGGCGTTGTCTTTACTAGAAGCAAGGAGACTAATTACCATGGCAAATTATCTGAATGTAACTTGGGTTGTCCATACCTAGCTTAAAGCTTCAATCGGTAGAGACAATCCTAACCCCTCATACTTCTTAACCTGTATATAATCCCAGCTTTCTTTCTTGTTTTCCACTTGTTTCTCCATTACGTAGACGTAGACCCAGGGTCCCCCACCCTACTAAATCCTAAACCCCACACATCCAAAACCGTGTAGACCCAGGTTTCGCAGGAGGGCTTCCCAACCTACTTGCCTTCACTCAGCAGCCTGCTGCGCGAGGGCAAAGACCCGAGCTATTTCCTGGCTGAGGTTTAGGGTAGAGGGGTTACTGGGCTTTGGTTAGCTGGGAATGAAGGAATGGAAAAGAAACTGGAAACTACTCTAATGGGTTATATGGGGACTGCTATAGGGATCCATTCCTTCACTCCTAGCTAGCCAAAGGTAAGTTTAGGGTTCTGGGTAAAGGGTTCAGGGTTTTTGGTTTAGGGTTTGCAGATTGTGCCTCTGTTGTGAGGCATAGCCATGTTTTACTCGAGGAGCTTGCTTTTGACCATCTTTTTAACCATCTGGGTCTAGTTTTATGGACTGTGAGCATGCTCCATGTCGGTTCTGATGCTACTCATCTTTTTGAGGCTACAGTACCCCTTAAGCAGATAGAATATGGCTTTGGGTATATTATACCTCCATATACCCCATATTCTATCTACTTAAGGGGGACTATAATTCTTGTGGCTGTGATTTCTGCCCCCACTGCAGCTTTATCCCTCATCAGAAGCAGCACTGCCCCGTAACATTTGTGGCTACAAAGATGCATGGCAGTGTCTTAGGGCTTCTCAAAGTTATGGATGCCTTTAGGGTGCTTGTATACTGAAGGTTGTATTGAGGGCAGCAACCCGAATTTGACTTTCAAAGCTCTCAAACTACTTTTTGCTACACATCAACTCTTCCGGCAGCAGATGCAACCCTAAACCCTAAATTGCCTTCGTAGGCACGCCGCCCTTTTTTGCGGCGTCTCGCGCGGTTTTGATCCTTGCTGGATCTCCCGACCTTGAGTTTAGGGTTTAGGGATATCATCCCCCTACAACGGAGAATCAAATGGAAAAGAAAACTGGAAAATGAAATGGACACTGGGGGAATGTAGGGATTTAATGATCATTAATTAGCTTCCTGGTGGCAAGTAGGGAATGGAGGAAGGGATCGCTAGAGTAGTCTCCGGATGCTGCCCGATAGTAGCCAGCAAACCCCTAGCCGTGAACCCTCAACCCTACGCCCCAAACCTGAAACAGAACATGGCGGTTTCCATTCTATTTCCGTTCCTACATCCCACAAACCCTAAACCCCTAAACCCAGTACGCGTAGGGGGTCGAAATCAACAGAAGTTCCCAGGGCTTTTTTGTTTCAAGCTTTGATGTGAGGGTTCGCCAGCATTCTATGGAACAAAGGCACCCCGGTGTGTCTTAGTTATATGGATAGTTCCCAAAATTAGGTTCCCATTTTGGCACCCTAAATCTTACCGTAATATATTTCAGAACCACGGGGGCTGATAATTTTGAGAATAAGCCATAACTTTAACGACCGAGGAAAATGGCGGGGATATGCGTAAAAACCTGGGCATTGAAGGTCTGGTGCGGATTAGATTAGAACTTTCGGGCCAATGCTCTACTCGATGTGGGGGCATTTGCAACTTGGAAGCTTAGGTTTTGGCTTTCCTTGTTTAGGTGTAGGCATTTCAGTCGAATTTCTGGAAGAGCGGAATTCTAGGAGTACAAGGACATGATATTGGTGGGTTTTCAGGTTTCTACAATACCTTTTGGATGAATTTGCAATACAGTCACGTAGGCAATGACTCCAGGGCAACCTATCTCCGCGACTCGTATGCTTGTCCCATACTTTCTCAAGATCCAGTGATTCAGTGGTGCTACACCCAGTTTACGTTCAAGTCTTCCACTGATATCTCCAAGAAAAGCGGTCCCTCTTATATCCCTGAACCCTAAACCCTCTTATGTCCTCCAAACTAGGTAGTGGAATCCCTAGTCTGGCTAACCCTTAAGGTGTGTTCATAGGCTCTAACCAGCTTATGCAGCTTGTCTATATATAATCCTTAACAGGGGCCTCTGTACTACTCCACTCATCATCCCTGTACAATATACAAGGGCTGCCAACAGCACACTTTTTTTTGAAAGACACTTTTCAGGGTTTCTCAAAATTTGGGTGCATCAAGAATCCCAGGGATATACAAGGATGTTAGGGATCTCGTAAGAGCGATTCTGAGGTATGCAGATTCTCGGCCCCGAACGCCGCAGCCTCGGCGAATGCGTCAAGAAGCCGCTCCTGATACCAGCAGAGCTGTTAAAAGGGGCACAAGGGAGGAGTTGTAATAAAATCGTAGCGGTACGAGAACTTGGGGACTGTGCGATTTCTGGCGATGATGAAGAGGTTAGGGGCCGTTTAAGAAATCCTTGTGAAGACATGGTGTTGAGATGCTGCGGAGCGTTCTGATCTTTTGATCTTGTACAGATCCGTTTGAAAGTTGTAGGATAACATAAGACACTCACAGAAGCGGTGCACCTGCGAATAGAAAATGCCATCTGTTCAAGGAAAGAGCTGAACTTCTGCCCACCAGCCAGAATGAGTTGCAGCGCAGCGCCTGTCGCTGTTGCTGAGTCACGACTGGCTCAGCGCAGCGCAGCAACTCTGGCACAATTTCATGAGCCTGACAGGGAGCACCTCGCGATGCTCGTCTCTTTCCACCCCGAGTGCGGCCGCCCGTCTGTTTGCTGATCTCGGGCTTAGGGTGTTGCATGAAGGCCAAGGTCTTACCAACTAAGTCGTGTTTCGGAAGAGAGAGTAGAGGGTATTGGACTACTGTGCTCTGCCAAGACTTCAAGAGTACACCAAATTGAGAGCAGCTGAAAAGTAGACATACAAGCTGGCAAATGCAACATGCAATCCTTCCCTTAGTTGCTCCAGCCAAAAGGTATCCTGATGCTCGGAAAGTTCCAAAGAGCATCTGTTTCATAGCATTCCATTCGGCCCGACTTTGTTTGGTGCCAACAATCAGTGGCCTGCAACTACTAGTTAGGTTTTAGGGTCTGAGGGCTTTTGCCGCAGTTTCTAACTCCACAGAAGAAACGTGGAACCAGAAAAGGTCCCTCACACGGCTGCCATCAACGAAAACCAGGCGATTGTATTCTTTATGTGAAGGCGGATGTTCAGATGAAGGCGAACCCGAGATGATGCCCAAATTAACCACCTCATACAATTAAGGGGTGGCGGGGTTAGTATGCGGACAATAACTGAGAAAGTCGCCCTCAAAAGCGCTACGTAAGCCTTGACACAGAACTTACTGCCCGCAACCCGAAAGCTGCCATTTCCAAGGATCATGCATTTACTCTCCGTGTCACTACGAACATACTTTTGACAAGCACCACTACCATGTCGCTCAAGACTACTATCTTACCCTAGGGCTCCCAGTTTCCTAAATAATGGGAACTGGGTTCCATCATCCCTATAGTCACATAGCCCAGTAACCGACTATTTAGGTAACTGGAGCCCTGGGGTTAGTCAATCTTACACTGACTCTTCTTCGTATTGCGGTCCCTTGCAGGCCCCGAAACGTTGACTTCCTTGAAACGTCAATCTTCAGGCCCTAGACGCGCAATCCTGGAACCTTGCAAGTCTACCTGTAACGCTAAGGACACACAGCTTAATCTGATTAGTAAGTATAACCCGAAATCTGCGAAGAATGGGATTGCAGAGAAAACCGAGAGTGGTCCTAGACTCTAGACCGTAAATCTCAAAATCCTGAATTAAACCCTTCAGCCCAAGACCCTTCAATTAACCCTAGATTATAGTCCCCCTCAAGTAGATAGAATATGTGGTATATGGGGATCTTATCATAATATACCCAAAGCCATATTCTATCTACTTAAGGGGGGACTATGCCCTGAAGCTTGGAACAACCCTCTTTGCCTGTTCTGCAGCAAGCTGCACAGCAGCAACTTTGGCCTGACGCAAACAGGCAATACAGCGGCCTGCATAGTTACCTGTGGTATGGTGGGCTTCCCAAAATTTGGGTTTAGGGTTTAAGGTTAACCCTAAACCCTTTCGGGGGGCTCATAGAACAAGGGCTATAGTATTTTGGGGTCCAGATTGGGGCCTCCTCCTGTTTAGGGAAACTGCCATATCATCCTGAGCTTCATTGGAGGTGCCCCTTACTGCAGTTGAAGAAGGAACCTGGCACCATTTTATGGGTTATTATTTAAGCCCCAAGAGTAGATGAGTGGAGAGGTTTGGGGTGTAAGCGTTCAGGGCTTAGGGTGGGTCTGTCAGGGTTCAGGGGGAGATTCCCGTTTAGGATGCTGATGTCAGATTTTCATTTTTGTTTGGGTTTATCTCAGGCGAAAGCATGGTCCTATCACTCTCATGACTGAGGAAGGCCCAGATACCCTTCTATCAAGCTCCTTCTTCGGAACTGCATCTTTGACGTTGTTTTGCAAGGGCAATGACGACACGGCACACAACGACAAAGAAGGGCAATATTGGCAACAAGAAGCCTTGGAAGCAAGCCTAAACCTCACAAGCATTCATAGAGGACCAAGCAGGACCATTCAAAACAGTCTCCTTTTCTAGGCTGCAAAGGTTCAACGAAAACATCACCTGTTGGATACCGTGGAGTCCCCTGGCATGTGCACCTTGCGAGTCTTTCAACATGGTGCGCCTTTTTCTCTCCTGCTGAAGCCGGTTCTCACTTCAGGCAGGCTCCAGGGACAGTGGTCGAAATCAGAGTCGACCTTCGCATCATCTGATGGGCAATGGATCTCCTTCTGGGCCAGACAACAGATTGCACAACAAAGGCTTTGCCCCCTGAATCCTGAACCCTAAGCCCTGAACAAGAATCCTCACTCTTCGATCCTGAGGACTGAACGTGCACAGGTCGGGCCTGGTGCCCAGATAGAAAAGGTAGATACAAAAGTAGGGATGCCCCAAATCCGGGCCACTCATCATTCAGTCTCTAGGGGGTGGTCAACCTCACATCTCAGCTGACTTCGACGACTTCCCGAACTGCGGCCAACGCCAGCTTTGCTTACTGGTGGTCATTGGGAATGAAGGATTTGGAAGCCGGACTGGTATAAGGGGTTATTAGGGATTTCATAGGGACTACTCTCCGGATCCATTCCTCCAATCCCTTCTTGCCGCCTCTAAGCTTGATCTACGAGATTTCAGGGGCTGCTTGCACGGTCCAGGAGGATGAGAGCATGGCTCAGAGCGATGGAAAAAGTTTTGCTCCTCACAATCTTTCTGCTCTTGAGCTTTGCCATTTTTATTTGGGAGTACACACCCCAAAAACCCTTGATACCTAGGGCTTCAAATTCTAAACCCTCTCTGGAAATGTTGGCGGCATTCTAGAAGCGAGTTGTATGGATCTTACCGTTGATGGAGGAAATCTTGCACTACCTTACATAACCTATGTCCCAGGAATTACAGCAGCATGGAGGTCTTATGTAATGCAGTCTTCCCTCCCTTAACCATACGAGCTTTAGCTTGGGAAGATGTAAGGGCTTAAATGATTGGAATAGGGTTTAGGGGTTATAGTCCCCCTGAAGTAGATAGAATCTGGGGTACATGGCGATCTCATTGTAATATACCCCAAGCCATATTCTCTCTACTTAAGGGGGACTGTAGGGTTTGGGGTTCTGCAGTGTATGGTATTTAGGGGTCGTAGAGGGATGGCATTGGTGATTTTTCAGGGGGTAGAGTATTAGCAGCCAACAGATGAAACTGTTTGGCCAGAACCAATTGAGCTTCTGGCAATTCGCCTCGCAATGCTACAGGAACTGCATCCGCAAGTCACTTGCTTGGGGTTTAAGGTTTAAGGCGCTTGAAACAATACGGCTGGCGTTCCTCTAGGCTCCCTGACCAAAGACAACATAAACGGTCACCAACATACTATGATACGTAAACCCCAACTCACATGTAGAAAGTCTAGTTTGCTGACATAATAAAGTACATGTAAAAATTGACAAATGAAAGCTGGAGGCATCCCTGGTATACCCTAATCCTGACATGAAGACGCCCTACGCATTTTGCAAGCTTTGTCAGAATACCAACAGCCAGTCTGCTATACCAGCCTTCTCTTCCTCCTCGTACCCTGGCTGCTTTGAGAATTGGTAGAAGTCATCTCTGTCACTGCCCTGCGGATACAGTTTAGAGCATGCCTTGCGCGCACAAGTTGCGGCCTAATGCGGCCGAAAGAGCATTTCTACAAGCTAGGATGCGTGGGCATGTGCAAAGATCTGGGAGCTTCTTAAACTTGTAAATATAACTCCAATACACTATATGGTAGTTTCCGCAAAATTTCCATTATCCCTATATTACCCTATATCATACCCTAATATACTATAGTAGGCTCTTTGTGGGGAGCCCTTACAACAGTTGTAATCGTCTGCATGGGCCTTTGGTAGATCCTGATTTTGAATAGACCATGTATTGTCCCATGCTCATGGAGGGTTTGAGACTTTAGGGTGTACGACACCTTTTTGGGGGCTTGAGGTGGCGTTTTGAGGTTGTCTAGGGCGCGGCAAGATGAATATTTTGGTCTGGGTAGGGGTTGAGGTTGAGGTCCGCCTCTTGTTTGCAACACTCCGCTTCTTGCACAGACCCGCATCGCCCGTGACGAGGAAGCCTACACACCATCCTACAAGCGGCATGGCAGTCTAAACACCTCCAAGAGTAGAATGACACTCCCGAAAATTTGCATGGAAACTTTGTAGGCCCCTTGGAATGTGAATTTGGAAGATGATTCCGCTTTGGGTTCTTCTAGGTTGAGGGCTCACACTTCAAGTCTTCAGCGAAGTGAGGGCAATTACGTTTATGTTTCCCCTAAACCCTAGACCCTAAACCTGGGACTGGCTGCCAGACCGCACCGGCTCAAACTTCACGTTGGGCGCCCCAACGATTCCCAAAGGCAGTCTCAGAGTCCTTCCCCTAAAATAAAATGCCTCCCTACCCACCCTTGATAGCTACTCCCAAAACAATGGAGAATCATGTGGGCGAATATTCCTGCGGGTGGGAGGTCATCCATTAGAGGAGGTGACTGTTCGTACAGTCAGATCTTGCCTTTCCAATTTCCGGATACGGCTGTCGCTGGAATCCAGCCTAGCAGAGCATGGGTTTGCAGGGGCATGATTAAATGGGGATTTTTCAAAATTAGGGGTACCCTTTTTTGGGGGTCCCCATGATAAGGATGAATGTATATTGGGGGCTACATTGGGATCACCCTAATTTTGGAAAGTACCAAATAGAGTATGATCTTTCAAGTGGCGTCCTTTACCAGGCGTCATGCCAGCATAAACTTTGAAATGCCCCCTGGAACCTGAAATCCAAGAACTCTAACAAAATCAAAGTCCTGTAAGGGCCAGAGAAGGGGGCTTTGCAACAAACAAAACCGGCTCTATGGGTCAAGACTAACAAGGTGCAGCCTGTAGAGGAAGATCCAGACTATCAGACCCATGACTAGTGACCCTTTTCCAGTAGCCTTCCCTTCCATTGAAGGAGGCGAACAAGTAGCCACAATCACCCAGATCTTCGGATCCTGTCTGCGTTCACTTGGGTTTGTGGTTTGATGTCTATAGACCTTCACAGCACCCAAAAAAGGGTCAAGCCAATAGCAGAAGATCTGCCCTGTTGCATCTGTATGGCGTTGCCCACCCTAGTTACAAACCCCTTGTCAAGCAGGAAACAATTCTGTTCCATAAGAGCCCTGATGTATGGAGCGTCCACTTACTGTAGAGAAAGTAGGGGAAACCGGATTGACTCCGAAAAGGAACCCTAATGCCGGCGCATTCTTGTAAATCCCAACGAGCCTACTGAAAAGGCGCCCCTAATTGTTGGACGCACCCACATGTAAATCAGCGGTCTGCATAAAACTCTTCGACCCTATATGGACCTCGATCACCTTCTAGCCAGCAATTCGGTTAGAAAGTCGTGTAGAGGCCAGCAACCAATTTAGATCATCGTTATCTTCCATGAAATCGTTATTTGCATGATGGCCTCATTTTGCTGTACACATTTTGGTGTCTTCTGATAGTTCTGGTCAATGGGCCACTACAGCGCGTCCAGCGCCAACCATTCAAATGACAAAACCTCACGTCCCTAAACCCTGAACCCGAAACATGAAACACAAAACTCCAATCCGAAGCACGCATAACGAGCTTGCCTTCAACGCCTCTTTATCATTCTCTCTGTTTGCAATTCAGATATACGCCCTAGTCTCTATCCTGCATCTCCAGGGTTTAGGAGAACCACACCCAACATCCACTTTTCATCTCTACTTCCTCCAAAACCCCAAACCACGCTAAACACCAAACCATTGGGACATTACGCGCTGTCCTTGGTATAGGACCCGCACTGCATCGCCGGAGCGCAAGGGAAACAAGGAGACCTCCCAGTCTTGGGTTTAGGGTTTCGGGGTTTAGGGTTTAGGCGTTTAGTGTTCAGATGTTTTTTTAGGGTTTATGGAGTTCCCCTTCCTGTATTACTTCTAAAGACCCCACTAGCTCAAAAGGCACCTGTGTTTGAATTTGAAAACTCAGCAAGGGCCTCGCGAATCTTAGGATGAGGAATGCCTCAGGGTGCAATAGTAAATCATCAACCTCTGCCTGGACCCCAAAATGTATTGAATGGTCTTTGGATTATTTCCCATCATTTTCTGCCAATGTGGAATACACTGGCATAGCATCCTTGTTGCATGGCTCAAAAAGCCAGCATTTCCCAACTCGGACTGGAACATATGCCTTACCGACAGAGGTGTTTAAGGACAGTGAGACGGGTGAAGAAACAGGGACGGTGACACAAACATATATCTTACAGGATGGTCACCACAAAATGTCCCCAAAGCCGTGTGGTCCAGTGTTACTGATTGCATTAAATAGCGGAGTCCATGCTGTAAAGCTCCCAAGCATGGGACGCATGCTTTACAGACCTTTGGCTTGCTCAAAATGGGGCTCTTAGGGTCCAATGGGCCTGGTGGGATTATAAGGAAATTTGGAGTCCCTATTGCGCTCATGCAGGGGATAGTTTTTTTTAGAAAAACCCATATCGGATGAGGGATCTGCTGGAACCCACCCTATCATGCTGTGTGGCTAGCCGCACATCCCCCAGCAATAAACCCGGATGATTTGTTAGCGGTGACAAGCCAAATATACAATCATTCGTGCTCACTAATCATTAAGCCCTGACGCTGAACCGCATATCCTCAACCCTACATCCTAGAGCCACCCCCAAGCCCTAACCTTTCTGCTAGACCCGCCTCCCCCCAAAATCTCCCAATCCCGAAACCTGTTGTCCCCAAGTCTGTAGTTGGAAATTAAAAAAGGATCACAGGAGGCCAGGAAGTGCACTGTATACCCTGCCTACCCAGCTACGGAGCAAACTCTCATCCCAAATCCCTAACTTCCAAAGCAGAAAAAAGGCCTCTGCTCCCAGACCCTCAGGTTCAAGCACGTCCCGGGTGACAAAGGCCAGAGATCCCCTGAACTTAGAGAATTGTTTGTGATACGTTCTGGGCGTAGAGTGCAGGGGTTTTAGGGGTTTGGGGGCTAGGGGTGTAGGATTTGGGGCTTGGTGGCTTAGGGATTAAAGGCCGCTCTGGTTCTCGTTCTGGGCATCCTAGCACATCTACTCCAATGGGATTTTTGGGCCTAGAGCTCAGGGTTTTCGGGCAAGATGATGGTTTTGGGGTCTGTGTGGAGGAGGGTCAAGGGATTCATGCGGGGCTAGGCGTGCGCTCGCTCGACGAACTCGACGTCTTCTCCCCAGACGGGGCTCGCTTGCTAGCACTCCTCATCATAGTCTTCCAGCTGGTCGTGCCGTCAAGTTGAGTTTGATTTCGAATTCTTATTCCACGAGTCTCACGTGCGCCGCTGGAACTTGCAAGCAGTCGGCATTCTTGATTTGCCTCGCCTCTCAGGGCGGAGGATACAGACCCGACAAATGCATAAGCCGTTGTTGCTACCAGGGTGGGATGGCTAAGGAACCAAGAAGATCTGGTTCCGGGGGTTCAGAGCCTTGATATTGGCAGTTGTGAAAGTCCGCGGCGCCACGGTGGGGTCTGAGACCCGCAAACGGCGCTCTACCCTGACATGGGAGGGACTCATTGGAAACCAGATGAAGGCCAACACGTCCTCATGAGGACAATCCAAAGGCCTTGCAACTGGACGAGTGACCCGGCTAAGGAGGGCGGGCATCCTAAACACCGAACACTGTTTCAAAGTGGCACTTTCAACCATTATGAAAGCATCTGACTGCGATGCAAAATGGGGAGCGCAAGGGTCTTTAGGCCAATCATGAGCCTACATCTAGCACGATTTGCGTTGTGGTGGGAGGCATTGAAGAACCTTTGATAGCTTGTGTTACAGCGTCGGGCTTGGTTCAGCTTCCTTTGTCAGTGTAATATCAGCCATCAGAAAAGTGTTGCTCAAGCTTGCTCTTCAATGCCCAAGCCAGGTCACGATCATTCTGTTATGTACTGCATGTGTAAAATGACTTCGCGCCCAGGCCATTATCCAGCGCAACTGGAGAATGTGAGCGCGGGAAAGCTTAGTCAGTGAAACTGTGGTCCCTGCGATTTCATAACAACCCCAAGGTTGCTAAGTCCTCCTGCCCCTTAGCCCCACACTCAAAACCCAACACCCTAAACCCTTAAACCCTCAACCCCAACACCCTAAACCCCTAAACCCTATAGACTGCAAGCAATACGGTACTGGGATCCTGACTCCTGTGATCAACCTGCACCTGAAATCCGAAATGTGGCCCCTAGGCACTAACAACGCAAAAGAACTAAGATCCCTAAACCCCCTAATACCCCTCAACCCCTACACTTCAACCCCTACATCCCTCCCATACCCCCGAAACCCTAAACCCCCTAAACCCCCTAAACCCCTAACCCTTGACCGTATCTCCCCCAGGCCTGGTTCGTTTGGAGTTCGGACTCCCTGGCTTCTCCCCTGCTGAAAGACCTGGCAGTTTGAAGGTTCGGATTTGAAGAGTTTAGGGTTTTCAGGACGAAGGAAATATTTCAATTCAAGACGAAAAGTTGGGGCCTGGGGCTTGTAATGCCCAGCAGCCCTCCGTGAAGCCTCATCATGTGTTTCATCTCTCTTCAATATTAAGGAGGGCCTACCTTAACATTGAAGGTCGATTGTGGAATTCCTTTTGTCACAATACTGTGGGGCCCGCTCTCACAACTGTTAGTCCCCCTTAAGTAGATAGAATATGGCTCTGGGTATATTATAGTAAGATCCCCATATACCCCATATTCTCTCTCTACTTAAGGGGGACCATAGCCTCACTGTTTGTCAGCCGGGTCTCCAACATGACTTGACTTTTCTCTTGTCTTCTTTATGACAGAGGAATGGGCCCCGCATTCTGGAATACAACGGCAGCTAAGAACCAGAATCTTGTAAGCCGTGACTCCACTAGACCCCAAGCTCTGAAGTCTTAAGCCGATACCTCTTTAAGCAATCACAGGCCCCAGGTCGCTTGATCACATTCTGGCCCTGGTCTTCCTGATACGAAAGCTTCACAGACTTTAGAGCCCCAAACGGCCATAACTAAACCATCAGGGTTCCACATGCACAGACTTTCAAGGAAGAACTTCATACGCGGCGCATGCAACCCCAGAAGTGTACTTATGTTTGTTAATGAGCCCTTCGCTGCCTTTAGTGGTGATCATTCATGACCACATTCCTTGAGGCTGCCAAACTATAACCTTCCATTATGACCCACGCTGTCTGTATGCCAAGTATTGCATTCGTTCACTGAACGCTTGCTGCGTGCAGTGGCTAAGACCTTGAAACCCCTCCGGCCTCAAAGTGGGAATTAATAAATACTAGGGTTTAGGGTTCAGAGTTTAGGTTAGGTGGACCCCCCTACTCTGCAATAGTGACTATAAGAGAAAATAAGGATCGTTTTAAGGTGCTCTAATATTCCTATTCTACCACTATTGCAGAGTGGGGGGTCCTCCTAAAGCTTAAGCTTTTCCACCTCAAATCCTAAACCTGTAGCGCAACTGACTCAAGCTTGTGTATGTGTTGCCGTATGCCAAACCCATTTGGAAAAAAATATGCGAAACACCACTCAAAAAGGTGGCTTCCGCAGCGTCCAGGCAAGCCCTAAAAACCTTGCCCCCAAAACCTAAACCCTGCTCCCTACGTGGACCCTGCAAGTACTATAGGAGCCAAATACCCACAAGTAGGACCTACATTGATCACTTCCAAGCGTATTTCGGGGTCCTGCCAACCCCCTACACCTTTACCACGGACCTTGTGCGGCAGGTGTCGAGTCAAAGAGACCTCGCAGCTCGCGGTAGCGCCCTTCATCGAGACCGGATTTGGACACCTGGGTTTCCGCGGGACTCCGCAAAAAGTGATATGGTAAGGAAACTTAGGCCCACCACCCCTGGAAATATGTCGGGATTTGCTTTGCTCAGGTCGACCTCAAGATACGGTTTCTGTGGCGGGTCCAGGGCTTGATCTCGAAAGATTCAGCTTGTATGATTTTGGGTGCAGAAGTATCTTCGGAGGTTAAGCTTACTGCTTCTTCGTAGGGTATAGGCTACAGGGTATAATACCTATAGAATATACTCCCTTAGTTCCTACTAAGAACCGGTAGGTTGGAGGTTAAGGTCTTAAGGCTGAAGCCCAGTTGCCCTGGATCCACCCTTGGACTTGCCCTTGGATCGCCCGCTCTTTCCAGTGCCCTTGTCGCCCTTCCCGTCCTGGCTGCATATATGCTTACAGGGGCTTAAGAGGAAATGGGTCCGTATAGTAACCCTACCCCTACATATTTCATAATAGGAATGGGTATGCTCTGATGCATTCCCTTCTGACCACCCGTATGGCGGCATCAAAATTATGGGTCCTGTGGGGCTACCAGTTCTCGTGCGACGCCCAGTAGCTTGGGACCATAGTTTTCGAAAATACACATGTGAGGATTTTTCAAACAGGCATACCTTTGGTGGCCCTGGAGATATATGGGCTTTGCTCATAGATCATGGGCATCCGCCCGCAGGGTGTGAATCATCTTTCACAACTCCCACACTTGCGGGTTTCTCGAAGTCATGAGTTTTCGCTGGTGGATCATTATCAGGCATGCTCCGGTTTGCTTTGTTGGGGGGAGAGAGGGCCCCAAATTTGATAAGACCCAAGTCAGACCTATGCAGGGTAACTTTGTCACTGCCCTCTGGGCACGCACAATCAGCATTGCCAACTGCACGCCCCAAGATGCAAACCTATCCCTCTTCCCTACATCAGTCAAACACTGTTCCCTCCGACATTGTTGGGCTACTTCACGGAATCTGAAACTTCCTGCTCTCAATTACCAAAACAGGAAGGAAACCACAACGCAAGACCCGCAGTCCTCGTGTCGACGACGCTGGGGTGGATGCCCTTGCCAGGTGTGGGAGCAGTCTCTGTCCAGCTGCTGGTCCAGCTGAAAGAGGTGCACAGCGGGACCAGCAGGGAAGCCGTTCACTTCTGGATACCTGGGTTGCTGTGAAGGAACTTAATTTAAGTTACTATATGGGGGAAACTATATTAATTACTATAGTGGGGAAACCACATTAATTACAAATATGTACCCATTATGGTAACTTAATTTAAGGTCCTTGACAGCAACCCAGATACAGCTGGGTGCAACACTTCTGATCGCAGCCTAAGCCTGAGAGAGCTTCGCAGAATAGATGGGCAGAGCTATCCGGCACGTGCGTGCCGCCTGCGCGGAGGCCCACAAAATTAGCCCAGGGATCCTCCTCCTGGGTTTCTGAGGCAGTTCCAAGATTTTGCCGGATCTTTTGGAGATCTGCCTCTGTCCTCCGAATAAAGTTCCGGATGAAGCCTGGCCTGCCATCCCCGATACGGTTGTAGCCTAGGCGGAGCCACAAGGGGACCTTCTTGCTATGCCTCAAGGCAGGATATCGAACTGCATTGGTACCCGACTGCTCCAACTCAAGGGGGCTCTGCATGGCCCGCACAGCGGCTTCGAGTAAACTTCTTGCTCCGGGCTCTCCTATGTGATTGTTCGTCAGGCTGAGCTCTAACAATGTGTGTGGGGAGAGCTGTAGATACTGGGCCAGAGCATCAGCTGCCTCATCACCTAGCGAGTTGTGATGGGCACTTAAGGCCTCTACGGGAACCTGCAGTTCCATCAGCATGTCTAAGAGCAGCTGTAGCCCCTGACCTGTTATCTTGTTGAAGCCAATGTCGATGATGCTTACCACTGCGCTGGGCGGGAGGCGAGCAAGACGGGGCCGTGCCCAACGGCACCAATGCTGCAAAGCTACATCGTCCAGGTTCCGTCGTGACAGGAATACTTTGTGTTGCCTGCCATCTTCCATCTGTTGCAAGGTGCCCTGCCAAGAGCTCTGAACGGTTTTTGAGGGGTAAACGTCAGACCTCTCGAGGCCCTTTCCCTCTCTGGTCCTTGTCATGTCATAGACACGGAGCCCTCGGCTGGCTGCCTGCGATCGTCGTCTCTGAAGTTCTGCCTCTGCCTTCTGCCAGAGATCCTCCTGATCCAGGCCTTCCCGATCCCCAGAGCCATGTAGTTTTTTGGCCTCCCTGGCCTCATGTTCATGGTCGGAGTCTGGGACCTCCCTGGGTGCACGAAGTGATGCCCTTGCAGGCCGGAGTTCCCTAGCAGCCTCCTTGCCCTCCCGCATGATGCGCAGGTTGTTGTAGCGGTCCCAAGACCGCTGGCCACGCTCCTCCTCCACCTTTTGCCACAAACTGTCCTAAGTAATTTGTCCCGTTGCTCGAATGAATTATGCTTTTCAACATTTTGGATTCACTAAACCACTAAAGTGCAAGGTACTTTTAGCCGCTGAGGGTCATCAATGGCCTGGAGATCACTGGCTCCTTCTGGTGTTCGTTCAGGATCCATCCCCAGCCCCATGTCTGACACTGACAGCTCAGCCATGGCTCTCAAGTGATCTGGGCAAAATCTAAAGCTACAGTCCCCCTTAGGTAGATAGAATATGGCTTTGGGTATATTAGAATAAGATCCCCATATACCCCATATTCTATCTACTTAAGGGGAGCTATACATCTTGATGCTATCTTAATGTAAGCTGCCATAGAAGCAGTGAAGCAACTCGGAAAGACAAGCCACTAATGGTTACTAATGCACACTCATGCATGGATATGCATCTCATGAATAGCATCTTAAGCTACTATCCTGCAGCTCCTACGCGAGCCAAACAAAGCCCGGATCCAAGCTTCTGCATGGCATGGCTGCGAGCAGCAGAAACTGCTTGCTGCGATGATCCTTTGTTCACGTAATCGCTGCAGGATTAGCACCACAAACTGCATGGAAAAGCTGCCGCTTCCAGAGCAAGCATCCGCATGGTGTGGATTCTTGACTGGAACTTCTCCAGTTCTCATCTACTCCATGCCAAAACCCAAGCCTTGAACATGCTCAAGCCCCAGACCCCAAATCCAACCACTAAACCCCTAGAACCCCTATATAACCCAGACGTCAGCTCTATGTAACCTGTAGATAGCCCTATATCACCCATATAGTAATGTCAGCCAAGCCGGGCCGTCAGCCTCCTCCGCCTCTTTGGCCCTCCTTGCGTCCTCCTCGCGCTGGCGCCTTCGCTCCTGCTCCTGGCAATCGACTACAGTAATTGGGGAGGCTTCTAGGGGATACATGGGGATTATAAGGGATTAGTAGAGCACATATGGGCTAGCTTGATAAAACTCTCATTTGGGGGGTTGAGACTTTACAAGTCGTAAGTATTCACGTTGAAGGTGCATGGTGTGGGAGTTTCAGGCATGAGCCTTAAGAATCCTGGCTCAGGATCTCCGACGCCCAAGGCATATGTCAGAGGCTTGGGGTTCAAGGCATTTCTAGGGTTTCGGGCATCAAGATAGAAGTTTTCTAAACACGGGGTCCTCCTATATACTGCAATCCTACGTCTAGGGGGGCACACCAAGAAGGGACCTCTTATTTCGGAAACCCCCAAGTGTTGCTAGTTGAAGGTTTTAACCAACCCTAAACTAGTTTAGGCTTCAGGTTTTCGGTCCGTGGCACGTTTCAAAAGGATGGAGGCGTGGGGGTGGTAAGAATTTAGGCTTCTGTGGGGACCTTCATGCGCGGAGTGCACATTGCGGCTGCCACATGCTCAACTCATATACAGTTGGAATCTCGGAAGCATACTGTGCATGATGGAAGATGCAACGGAGATGACTTCATTTACGTTTTAGGGTGCTTGTTGTAGAGGCTTGCTTTATTCTAAAACAAGCAAGTGGTCAACAACTTGAAAAACAAGGAACATCTGCGGATCTGGGGACTAGGAATGCGCTTCCGACAGCATCCTAGAACTTCTTCCCAAACCTGCCCTTTATGAAAACTTGGATTACCTGCAATGCGTCTTCACAAAACCTTCACTGCAAGCCAGCCTGCAAACATCAACACTCATGGCTCAAATCAGAAACCCAGCACCCTAAACAAAATCCAGAAGCCACTGCCAAAGGAACCACACCCACAAACCCTAAACCCTAAATCCTAAACCCCCGACCCTAAACCAAAGTAGACATGAGCCTCCTGAATCCTCTTCGCCTCTTCCTTCTTCCGTCGCTGTTCCTCCTTTCCCAAGGTTCGGTAGCTGAAAATACTCACTAATACTTAATGACGAGTATGGCAAGTTTATGGTTTGGGGACGACTACAGTGTGACATCTTTGCTTTTGCATTTTCCTTGGCCCTCTGGTTCCAAGTCTCGCTGTATATGTCTTTTGCTGATTTTCCTTGTGTGTGTGCGTGGCTGTTTTTAGGAAGGGTCGGAAGTACATATATGCTAAGAAGAGTTTGTCACCAAAGCCCAGGTAGCTGCCAATGCGCGGGGAGGAAACCAACACAAACTTGTGCAGCATGGATTAGAGAATTGGCTTCCAACGTGAGATTTGGAGCTTGCCGCGCAGAATAGAGGACTTGGGCCTGAGGTTCGGTTAGGTGTTTAGAATCCAGGTAGCAGCAAACTGGGGTCGTCTGACGCTTTCATGTCTAAGTCAAAGCCCAGATAATGTGGAAAGCCGGGCCCCCAGGTATGGACCCTCAAATAGACTGGATGCAGGAGCGATACTGGGGTGCGTGCGACATCCGGAGCTTTGGGTATGATATCGGGTACAACAGCTCATGCATCGGGGCAACGAATTCGGTTCACCATGAGCTGCACCAATTTGACGCACAACATTCCTACGACGTACACTCAGACCTGTGGCCCAACATCTAATGCTTGGGTTTGGGGACGTCACCAGGATGTAGAGGTGCACAATCGGGCGCAGGGTGCTCAAGCAGACAATCTGTATCCCCAAGCCCTCACTCGCAAGTACTCATGCCAAAAGTAGCCTGCCTCTGCTTGCTTTCTTCTTCTCTCCTCTTCCTGCATCAACACAGATATGCGTTTCTTCTGAGTTCTTTTTGAAAGGAAAGGCTGCGCTGAGCTGAAGACTGTCCACATCTGAAAACACACGCATGTGATGCTCATGATATTATTGGGAGAATATAGGGTAATATAGGGTAATATAGGGATAATGGAAAAGAAAAATGGCAACTACTACATTGTACATATATATATATAGCATTGGGGTTACGTTCCGCTTGTTGTCCGTGGCCTTTCTGACATTCATGCTTACCATTGAGGAATCCTGCAACTAACAACAGGGCCCTGTTTTGGCTTCTGAGCCGCCTACTGACAGGTGACCGCGCATCATGGCCCAGCCATGGAATGTATGAGCTCCAGGTAACATGTGTCATGCACACACACACAATCTCAGGCCCACTAACCAGATGTGATCCTTGGGTGGTGTTGCTGAGTGAATTTTTACCCCCCCCTCCCCTCCCCCCCCCAAAAAAAAGAACACAGCTATCATATGACTAGAATGGAATCCTAAGTTTGGGCGTTGGGGTAACCCAAATACCATTGTTATTTGGATGTTACATAGTTACGATACAAGGCTGCTAAGAGGGCGGCAAGGAATATAGGGATGCTTGTTGGGGTTGAACCAGGAGCCACTTTTGGGATCCATTCCTACCCATATGCAACACTTGACAACGCGACTTCCCTAAACCCTAAACCCTGAGCCCTAAACCCTAAACCCTAAGCCCTAAGCCCTAAACCTTAAACCCTAAGCCCTAAACCTCAAGGCCTAAACCCTGAACCGAGTGCCGACCCAGCCGGATTAGCTAATGACAGCCTGTCGTCTCCTCTCGTCTTCTTGCCTTAGCGTTGGAATCAACCCCCACACAGGAATGGGTACCACAAGGGACGATGGTAGGTATAGAAAGCCCTATTAAAATGTATATTTAAGAGCTACTGCTAGAGGGGGATTGTCCCCTTCAGGACTTCAGAATTCTGAAAAGAAATTTTTGAGAGACTACCATGTTCTTTTAGAAGTGTAGCACAGATATGACTGTAAGGGCCTGAATAATTTTCAATATGATTTTGAAGTTTAGTGAGAAACAGGTACCCTATGACATGCTTGTTCCAGGAATCTAGAACCATAATCTAGGGTAACAGCTCTCTATGAGGCCCCCGCACATAACCATTGACCGTTTTCTTTTCCATCTAGTTCTCCATTATATCGGGAATCATTCAGGCCCCTAAAACCTGAACTACATTAAGCCTTCCGGCCGTGGCCTTTATCTGTACGCTTAGAATTCCTGTCGACTTTGGGTACTGCCCGGGGCGAGCGCAAAGTGAAGCCTTTCTCCTTGCTTGCTGTCATCCAACTTTGTAACACCCCTCACACTCAACCTGACTCTCCATAGTGGATGAAGGAAAGATCAACCCGCGGAATGATTTCTGTTGGCATTGTAGAAGCCTGAATATCCGAATGCCGCTCCATAACAACCATATATTGAATACATCTTTTTAACATGCACCCCAAGACCCCATGCCAGGTATTTCAGCAACCTGAGAGGTCCAAAACATGGGCAAGCTGCATGAGCCAGCTGTTGCTAGAATGCTAGACTTGCCCGTGGGTAGTAGGGAAGAGGTACTTCACCTCCTAGCAACTACCAGGAAGTTAAGTGAAGGATTTTTGATTAGCATCAAAATCCCAGGCAAGCTCTTGCCCCGTGCGCAATGATGCAAGGATGCTTCAAGACAAGAACCTCCGCAGGCTGCGCACACAGATTTCAAGACAAACGCTCAGCTATCCTTGCAGGCCTCGGCGTGGTGCACATTGTCCTACAAATTCCAGTCAAAACCCCAAACACTGAACTCGAAGCCCAGCACCCTCAATCGTGAAAGCTTGGGACCCTAAACCGAGAGAATGCTGAACCCTAAACTCATCGTACAGCTGGGCGAAGTACTCACGAGCTCTTTGCGCTTCTGCGGCTCTCCTGTTTTTTCAAAAGGCCATGCCTACAACTGTTATGACCGTCTTGGAGTTGGCGCTTCAGGCACGGGCTTTCGGGTTGTAAGAATTGTGACATGCGTCGGAAACGGCATCTTGAAGTTTTGGATTTTGAGCCTTGTGGCCCACCCTTTTGTGCTGCCCTTCGTATTTTCGAGGGTTCCTTCTATAACCGCAACTGGTCACGGTACTACGACTCCTGAAGGGCTTGTGGCCAGTCATTTCAAAATCTGCAGGCATGACTCGAACACTGGGTTCTACGGTTGCTATCATCATTTTTGTGAATACGATAATCATGACTACTATGACATACTATGATTTTTGTAGGCCCGTGTGCAGCATCTGATTCTTCTAGTCTTCTAGGAATCCTCATCATTTTCTGTACACTGCCGAAAGCCCTTCAACAAAAACCATCCCACAGTAGCTCACTGCTGCGTCATATAGGCCTTCCTCAGCTTACAACTGGTAATCAGGGAATCTTTGTCAGGCTCCTTTGAACTTTAAACTTTTGGGCTTCATGGTAGCTACAGGGAGGGTAAGTCATCCCAAACTCAGCA